CTCACTCATCACTCACAGCCGCTTCCTCGCCGATAGAGGAGAAGCTAGATACCCTTGTGACTAAAGTAGACAAACTGGTAAACGCCATTTCGGCGCGTCAGTCCACCACACAGCAGATGCAACAGGCCAACCAAAGGCGAGACGCACTCATAGAGCAAATCATCGAACACAACAAACACTTGGCTAGTCGCCTCGATAACGAAGCCGCCACTATATTAAAACTAGAACAGGCCATAAATGCCTTGGAGCTACCACGCAAACGACAAACTAGAAGCAGCCAAGGAGAAACATCCCACGGCGCAGCAAAGATAGATATGGATATGAATCAAGATGTCTAATTCTCCACCGCCACCACCCACCGCATTTAACTCTTCTCTGAACACGCCACAAGCAACGTACACCATATGGCAATGGAATTGTAGAGGCGTACGTCGCAAAAAGGGCCTCCTTACACAGTACATAAAGGTGGCTGACCCCAAACCCGACATCATTCTCCTTCAAGAAACAAACGGATCAATCACTATTCCTGGATATGAATTATTCACACAACCTAGCATCACGCACAAAGACAAACGGTCGCCCACGGGCGTTTCAGTCCCCATCATGACCGCCACCTATGTATCAAAACACATAGCTGCTACGCAAATTGACACCTCCCACCTGAACACACCATCCAATGAATACGTCACTGTCCAATGTCGTCTAGAGCACAACACCAAGGACACTATCATCACGAACGCCTACTGGCTACCTAAACACCCTAACGCAAACCTAGGATGGCTAGCTAAACACTCAGCAGGATACAAGTCTCATCCGGTCCTCATAGCAGGGGACTTTAACAGCCACAGCACCTCCTGGGGATATAAACGCACCACTTCGAATGGCCGCAAGCTAGCGCAGGCCATGGAAGTTCATCAATATACCCTTCTTAATGACACCACCCTGCCCACACGTACAGGAAACAGCGTAGAACACGACAGCTCACCAGACCTCACATGGTACAAGGGACCAGTGCCAGCGACATGGGATAACCTCCAGAAAACTTTGGGGAGCGACCATTGCATCCTACAGACCTCGCTCACTTACCTTCAAACACGCCGAAAGAGCTCCCAGGGAGGAATGCGTACTAAAATGACCAAATGGGATAAACTCCGAACGGAACTGGACGAACTACCCACCCCCTCCTCCTACCAAAAGTGGGTAGACATTTTACACTCCACATACCGCAAACACACAAAGCACATAATAAACACCCCAGACCAGGAACACGTAGACTCACACCTCCTCTCCTTGTGGGACAAACGACACCGCATGATACAACGCTGGAAAAAGAACAAGACCAATCGCCCCCTCAAGAAAGCTATACAGGCTATCACTGAGGAGGCGCAGGAATATGCATGCACCCTTACTACCGAGAACTGGCTCCAGACATGCGACCAGCTTAACGGACAACTACACACACCTCGAGTGTGGCAGATCCTTCGCTCCCTCCTGGGACAGGCTAAACCTAGGCACACACTAACAAAGCTTCTCATGCATGCAGGAGCAGACCCTGAATCCCTTGCACGAGACATACAAAAACTCTTTTTTATCCACACAAACCAAACCTTTCCCCATTGCCCGACCATCCTCCCGAATCCCCCGACTCTCTTTCCACCGGGATCAATTCCCTTTTCAGCATGAACGAGATACAAGCAGCTCTTCACAACCTGAAAAGGAACACAACCCCAGGTATGGATGGAATCACCTACACCACACTACGCAACCTACCCGAGCACTTCCTCGAACCTCTCCTCGACCAAATCAATCAGGCATGGGACACTGGAATCCTCCCTCATGAGTGGAAAACGGCCCTCATCATACCCATCCCGAAACCCGGAAAACCTCCCAACCAGATCAACAACCTCCGACCTATTTCACTCACCTCTTGTGTTGGCAAACTTATGGAGAGAATGGCTCTAAATCGCCTTCAATGGCATCTAGAGACCACAGATTCCTTAGCATACACTATGACGGGCTTTCAATCGCATGTTAGCACACAAGATGCCATGCTTCGTATATACGAAGATATATACCAGAATGCCAGTACTACACAACTGCGTACCATAGCAAGCGTTGACATTCACAAAGCTTTTGACTCTGTAGCGCACCACACAATACTAGATAACCTCTTGGACACGGCTCCCGGCTCTAGAATGTATAATTATGTCAAAGCCTTTCTAACCGATCGAACAGTACAGATACAGGTCAATGACTTCATATCCCCTGACCATACCTTAACAGCTGGAGTACCACAGGGGGCTATTCTCTCTCCCACATTATTCAATCTAGCCTTGAAGAATCTCCCGGGTAAACTTCACGAAATCCCGCACCTACAGCACAATATCTATGCGGATGACATCACCGTTTGGTGCTGCACCGGCTCCCCAGCAGATCAGGAAGCCACGGTGCAGGCCGGACTCGACACAATCCACACCCACATAACGCAACTTGGCCTCACGTGCTCCCCCACAAAAACAGAATACATCGTTGTCTCTAACGCTACGGGACAGAAGGCAGACGACTACCGCGCACTCATTCAACTACATATAAATGGCACCCTCATACCTCGCCGCCGCACCATACGGGTGCTAGGCTTCCTCCTGCAACAGGACGGCAAAGCGGACGAGTGGTTATCACTCATCACAAAGCAGATAAACGAAATTCACCATATGCTCACTAGAGTATCCAGGCGCAACCGAGGTCTAAAAGAACATGAGATGCGTAAAACGGTCGAAGCCCTGGTCTACACCCGAGTCATGTACAACCTACCTTATGTCACCCTCACCACCACACAAATCCGCAAACTCGAAACCGCGCTCCGTAAGTGCACCCGACTCACACTTGGCGTTCCACGGTTCGCACCCAACCACCTACTACCTCTAACCGGCATCTTCAACACCTTAGGCGAGCGCATTACCATGCATCGCCACGCTCAACATGAGCGCCAAGGTACATCGCGACAAGGCCGCCGAATACTAGACCACCAGCACTATGATACCTCCCAGCTCCCCTCCATCCCTCCAACCTCCCCACCATGGGACTCACTGCCACGTCTACATGTCCTTCCTCTACCGCGAAACATGTGTCCGGAGGCCCACTCTTCTCGAAGGGAAGATCGTGTCAAACGTCTCACGAAGCAAGGGGAACCGCCGGATACAGACCTTTACTTCACTGATGCCAGCTATTACCCTGACCGATGTCGCACGGCAGTGACTAACAATACCTACTCCCATACCACTCTGCATGAAGGTGTACCCTCCCCTACGGCTGCCGAAACACTTGCCATCGCCGAGGCCATCATCATCCCCACACATCATCACGATCGGATTCTCATACGCACCGACAGTCAAGGAGCTTGTCGACAGTTTCGGGACAACACGCTCCCTCCCCATATACACGCCCTCATCCAACAACACCTAACTACTCACCCACAACTGAACGTCACCATCCAATGGATACCAGGCCATCAGGGCATGGGAGGAAATACAAGAGCGCACGCGCTCTCCCGCGCTGAAGGAAATCCGGGACCTCCTACCCTCTGGCCTGAGTTCTACGACCCACGTGAACACCGCAAGCAACTCCACAAAGCTCGAACGGCTATCCTCAAAGAACTGCGTATGACCGTCTCAACTCTCCCCCATCCGCCTCCACATTTCACTCGCGAGGAGGGTGCCATCTTACGCCGTGCTCAAACTCACACTCTAATGACCCCTCATTACAAACACTACATACAAGGACTCCCTGGACGCCCCTACTGTCCCCACTGCGGGAGCCACCCTTCCAACATACACATGATGTGGGATTGTCCACACGCGAAACTCCTCATATCTGCAACCTTACACCAACTGCCCCCCGACCTACACCCAAACTCCTGGGAGAGCTGGATCACTCCACCTAAAGATCACCAACACCTCCTACTGCCACTACTGATCCAGCACGTCCACAACGTACTTGGGGAAGAGTGGTAAAGCTATATTGGGAGCGCCGGACTAGGCGTGTTAAAATAAATATTTTTTCTCTCTCTCTCTCTCTTCTAGGGTGCCTTCATGTGCGCTTTGCTTAGGGTACTGAGGGTGGTGGCATGTCGCCATTTTGTGCCACACGTTTATTTTTATTTTTTGTTCTGAAGCGCGTGAAAGAGCGTGTCCCTGTACGAGTTTGTGGCGATGACTGTGCTATGGCGACATTTTATTTTCGTCCATCTTTTTGTATTTTCCACGCGAGCGCGAGCTGTCAGCATCGGGTACTACAAAGGGTGGCATCACCCTAAACAGATATACATTGAGGCACCCTATCCCCTTCTACGTGTCTTTCCCAGGCGTATAAAAGGTTCGAAGTACATAACCAAAATAGATTTTTGACGAACGCGCTTGCAAGGGGCCATCTGTTTTAGGTATTTGCTTTAGAAAAGTTACTACTGCTGACTCGAGCAAGTGCGCCACGTGGAATACCAATCCCTGCATTCTCCTTGATGCTTGGGTAACATAGCAATACGTCTATAAGGCAAAGGTAACGTTTGAAAGATCTGAAGGCTTTTGACAATACCGAGCATTCCAATATTGTTTTGACCTCCAAGGCTAATTGCTTAGCCCACTTTGCGATATTTAGGCATTATGGGAATCCAAGAGAACGACGTGCAAACGCGAGGTGGAGCTAGGAGGAATTTAATCAAACAGGCACGTTTGTTTTTTCGCCTGTCTTCCCGTTTGTGACACGCGGTGTTATTTCCATGATGACACTGCAGGTCCCCATGATTTTAAATGATCAAAAGCACCGCGTGTAGTTCATGTATCATACACAGCAAAAGTTAGAAATTAGCGTTTTATTTTCGTCATAAAAAGGAAGAAAGGGACCCCAACCTTGCTGCCCTGACATCAATCAGGTATAACAGTTTTATATGCAGTGTCAGTGGTGACAGAATTAACCTCTGCATCCAGAGACCGAAATGCTGCCCGGATATCTCACCCCGACTGCCATCTGCTCAGCTTACTGATGACATCAGGTGTGCAGCCAAGGCATACTAGGGGATCGTCGTTTTGACCAAATTCACCCAGACATCCCTGCGAAGAAGAAAAATAAGTTTTATGAAATTAGCACATTTTAATTTGTTCACGTTTTTATATTTATCAAGGTTTTACAATATACTCATTCCACGTCAGTATATGCAACAGATTTTGTACAAAGGCATATCTACTATTTTAAACTATGTAAAAAACTGCGAATTAATTCTATTTCAAGCGATTGGGTCACATATTTCTATTTCGCATTAAAATTATGTTTCTCGCTAGATGTAATTTCACGTATGACCCGCAGTTTCAAATGTTACTCTTGCCTACTGCACCTATTTCCTTCACACGTTTTGACAAGACAGAAACAAAGGACGAATAAAAACGTTTAGTGAAACAAACGCAGATATACATAATTATTTCAATGAGCGACGAAATCTACTGATATTCATCGATATTCCCTTAGGGCAAAAGAAAAGGAAGAAAACACAAGAATAAATTAAGGTGGAGACAAAAAACAAAAAACAAAAAAGCGGAGATGACAAAAAAAAAAAAGAGGCTGCTGTAACGGCTTGTGCGATAAGAAATTTAGCTCTGCCGTCGAAAGCGAAAGTGAAGGCCTAGACATATTACTGAAGGACCGCTTTATCTTGCAGGATCCAATCATTCCTCCCCCTGGCTTGCTGATCTTGCAAGATTCAACATTCCTCCCCCTAGCTTGCTGATCTTCAAGATTCAATCATTCCTCCTCCAAGCTTGGTGATGTGTGTGCCTACGACTTGTTTTGATGAAAGGGGGGTGGGGGGGGGGGGGGGGGGGGGCGCAGTCAGGATGATTATGAGAACCAGAGGAGACCTTTGAGACTTGCAGAAAGTGGTTCTTAAAACGAACATTCAGATATCTTCCTGTCAGGCCGATGCACTGGCCACCGCAACATAACCAAATGAAATAGGTCGTTCTTGGCATGGCAGTTGATGAATTTTTTCGAGTGATTGATGGAACACTCTCATGGAGGGTCTGGATTGTTCGCACGCTTTCAAAGCTGCCTCAACCTCATTCTTCGCGTGAGGACTACTTTAGCGGATAGTGGGAAGTTTTAAACGCTGGGCAGTATTGTGCACATGCAGTATAAAAAAGAAGCTTTAATTTTTTTTTTATTTCTTTATTTTTAGGTTAAGCAGTTAGAGGCTGCAATGAGTGGCTGGTGGGTAGTGCGAAGGAGATTTGAGGAAATCCTGCGCGGAGAAGGCTGTCATGATGACAGACGAGGCACAATACTGCCCACCGGTTCAAAATTCTTGCTGCCCGGTACGTGACGTGAAGGGACATCCCGTGACGTGACACCATGTCGGTACTTGACACGGTGACGTCACACGACACTATGACATCGACTTAAAGAGATAGAGCGCGAAGCAAAGGGATCGGTGAAGGGGCCAGATAAGTCCGCTTGTGAAGGTATTGAGCAAATAATTTGCACAGAGGTGGCCGAAGAACGTGCGTTAATAAAATACATAGTTCCCTGAACAAATTTCTCGTGCAAAAAGCCAAGAATGAAAAGATTGAAATCCCTACCTACAACGTCCGTCTGCTACCGAAAGGCATCAGATTGGCGCAACAACCGACAGATGGCGACACGTAAGATCGCAGGCAGATAGAGAGACTGTGTTGCAAAAAAGTGTCAAATTGCTCGATCGGAATCACGTGGTTTATGGTCGCATTTGCAAGACGAGCTGCGAGGAGGAGCCGAAAGTGTTGATCGTCTGCTAACGTCTTCGCCTTTCCCCCTGCTTTCCTTCTCGCCACGCGAAAACGCAGCGCATGCGGTCTTGCGACCGATCGTCGCTGAAGGCGTCAGCCATGACATTGCAAACGCTCCCCGTAGTTTGAGATGGACCTTCTCTTCAAGCTAGGCTCTCTACAGCCGGCCATGACGGGCACTTCCCTCGACCTCGACAATAGAGCAGACGATATTTAGGAGCTAAAAGCAATTCGTTTTTTTTTTTTTCTTTTTCTGTTTTGCGAATTTTTAGTGCATTATTATTTTATTTTAACATTAAATTATAAAACGCAAAGATGAAACGAGAACAATAAAACAGATATGTTTTCTCGTGTTATTTGTGTCGACAATTGTTTTCGGTTAACATCGTCTGCTTTGCAGTCTCTTGTTTTTACCGGGTTTCTTTCCTTGTCTGTAACTTTTATCCGCGCTGCTTAGGGATGCAAGCCATCTTCATGGTGCGCTTAGCTCCTAAAAAGCGAGTGAAGGTTGCTCTCTGGTACGGGGGCTGTCAGAGGACGAAGGGCGTCCGCCGACGTTTTTCGGAGGAGTTTTGTCTTCGACCTCCGGACTCCCCTACAAGTCTAGGCTGGGTGAGGCGCCTCAACGAGGAGAGAAACTTCCAAAACAAGCCACAGACCACAGCGCTGTCATCACTAAGTTAATGCTGAAAAATGCGGTACTTGATGCCTTCCATGGCAGGCCCCCACCTGTTGACGCAGAGAGTAACGGCGAGATCTATGGGCATCGCGCCACTCAGACGGCTTTGGTGAGCACACAACCATCGTAGGTAGGTGCCTCAAGTTTTTTTTTTTCATTTCTAACTCACTACTCTGTAAAATTTGTTCGGTGCATTTTGAATGATTTTAATGGACGTTCTTCGGCCATTTTTGTGCAAACCTTTAGCTCGATACGTTCAGAAACCGATCTATGTCGTCCCTTCAAACAGCCATCGACACTTTGACACAACATTGAGCTATTACGCCACGTTGCATTTTGACCTTGGATGACATCAGGACGTTACAGAGCCCGGTGACGACCCGTGACATAGGGGCGTTACAGTATCCCGTGAAGCGCACCTTGTGGTAACGTCACATCAGGTGATATCATGAAATGACACTGTGACGAAAGATATAAGGTCACGTGGCACTGACATCATTACGTTACGTGACTTCATTTCATACCATAATGTAGCAATGTGGCGTAACGTCAGGTGACGTCATTTGACGCTGACTTCAGGTGAGAATATATTGTACCATAGGGATTTAGCACCACACTATGTTGTCACGTGACACTACAGTGTTCCGCGACCTTGTGACGTCTTTATATAACCACAAAAAATTGTCATGCGCCCTTGAGTGTCATTATTCCTGTGCCCGCCAAAAGTGCTCGAGCGTGAAAAGGCCCTATCAATGCGGTGCATTTCGCATGTACTTGGGAAGTGCTAACGACACAGCCTATTTTTCGGGGTATGCCAAACTGGCTTATTAATAAAACTGGATCAGCTAACTTCTTAGCTAATCCTTTTAGGGTAAACCATTAAAAAAACGTTGCAGTGCGTGTAAAACAAAATCCTATTATGTAGTTTTCATGGAGGCAGCTGTTTTCTGTCGAATTTATCAAACTTTATGTAAAGCGCGAGGTTCACCGAAAATCCCACGTGACTACCCGCGGGTGAACTGTGATGTTTGAGCCATTAGTCTCGCAATACGTTTTTGTTTTCTCGCACTTTCTTAATAGATGGAAAGAACTAGATACACAGAGACAACTCTGATGGAAAAAACATGGTATGGTATTTCTCAACAGGGTCTACAAGTTTGGTATTGCGAGATTCAACCACAAAGCAATGTGCGAAAATTTAAATAATGATATTTTGTTAATTAAGCAGTTTTGAACTTCGCGACAATACCTTGACTTGCTCGATATGGCTGTTAGAGATACTGCGGTATTTTGACACGCGTAGAGCTCAACCTTGTTTTAAGTTTAGGCACAAGTTAGCTGAAACGCCTTGCACGAACATCTGCTGGAGTAGCAGTAGAGTATCAGGACTGAGCAGAGATACTCCAGAAACTCCACAAACTGAGATTCTTGCATTTTAAGGCCCAACATACAGATACTGAGATCCATTTGTTTTTTATGCAACGAGATATCTCTGAGATACTTCTGCAAACCCGGGGAAAAAGGATTCCAGAATACAGATACAGATACTTATAGAAATAAATTTGTTCCCGAACGGTGCAGGGTGGGGTGAGTATAATTCGTGGCGAATGCGAATGGTGATTTATGCTTGTGCTTCTTTTCGGTGCCATTTTATGCTGTTGCCCTTACCTCGAAATCTTTGTTTATCTTAATACCGCTAAAGAAAACATGTTACCTTTGGTGAATCAGATAGTTCCAGAACGGTCAAGACTGCGTGGCATGCATGACGAAAGGCGTATCGATTGTAACGAGATACCCAAATCTGGCAAAGTATCGCGATACAAGCGATACACTGTTAATGTGTTTCACTACTGAGATAAAAATACATTTCTCAGGTCTACCTCGATACAGAGATACAGATACTCAAAAGTATCTCTAAGATACTATCGCGATACATTTGTACCGCGATACTGCCCGGCCCTGTAGAGTTTTATAAGAAGGGAAGGGAAAGGAGTGTTTTTCGTAGCCGTAGCTCGGAATATCCCCTTTGGTTTAGGGAAGGAGGCGAGAGTGAAAGGTCGGTGAACGAAAGGGGTTTATTATGGGGGGATGCCCCGATAGTGTTTCGTCTTTTATGGTCCTGGAGCAGATATTAGCGCCCAAGGAGGCGGCCGACCCCAGTGAGAGCGGAGCCGCAAGCGGAGATAGGGGGGTCAAGCCTGAGCTCTTCATGGAGAGAGGAGCGAGTTGGTAGGCTTGCTTTCAGGAAGATCGCGGTGCGCTTTACAAATAAATGAGACGAACCTTGATTATGAGCCAAAGACATGACAGATGCCGTTGGCGTGCTAGGTGCAGTTGCTTGTGTACGCCTCCGAAAGATATCCGAAGAAGAGTAATAAAGCACAACATGAACACAAGAGAAAACTTGGCTCATGCTTTGCATACGAACATACAAAAATGACAGCAGGGTAGGCTTTACGGGAACGCGACAGAACAGCACACGACAAAACAGCACCCGACAAAACAGCACGGTCAAAACAGCACGCGTCAAAACGGCACAGCGTCAAAACAGCACGGCGACAAAACAGCACGCGTCAAAATAGCACGCGACAAAACAGCACGGCGTCAAAACGGCACAGCGACAGAAGAGCACGTGTCAAAACAGCACGGCGTCAAAACAGCACAACGAAAAAGCAGCACGCATGTAAAAAGGCTGTAATAGGTACCGTTTTATGAAAACAAAACAGAACGTAAAGAAAAAGGGTTGGACATTGCATGGCATTATTTAACAGCTAGTGGAGAAAAAAAAAAACAAAAAAAAACGTACGCTGGCGGCGACGGGAATGCACGTGCATTTTTTTTTTTTTTTACTTCAAACGCTATATTTAGGTTAGGGTTCATCGTTTTCGGGTTAAAGCGAATATAACCGGTAAACGTACGCCGAATTCATTTTTCTACATTCAGGCTTAACTGAAAAAGTTCAGAATTTTCCAGGGCGTTTGGAGTGGTATGTGTGTTTGTGTGTGTGTGGGGGGGGGGGGGGGATGTGACTCATAACTACGTTTTCGTGTTTTCGGATAAATTCAAAAAACACCCGTCGGTAAAAGTTTCGTCTATTCGTGTTTATCTGATAAACTCTGAATTTCGATATGCCAATCCCCCTACCCGCCCACACAGACACTCACACAAATATATTTTACAATGAATGGTTTAATCAGCGCGTAGAGTAAATGTCCTGGGAAAATGCCACCACACATACCTTTCGAATTTCGGTCAGGACAACAGGTCAATGCACTATCGGGTCAAGACAAAAGTTACTGTTTATGTTTCTGGTTTGGGTCATACTATTTGTGCCTGAGGGGAAGGAGAGGTTGTGGTTTTGTAACCGCGAAAGCTATGGACCATAGAAATTACATAAAGTGAAAAAGAGGACAATTGAAACTTCTCTATTACATTCTTTTCCACTCTATCTCTTGCGGCCGCGCCGTAGGTTGATGAAATAGCATGGAATAAATACAGGCTTCTCAGCGACTACCTCCAGTAGGTTATTGATTTTAAGGTATTGACGCTTATCGAAATAACACTTGTGTGCCACTTTTGTTCTAGGACAAATTAGTATTGCCAGTAGTAATGGCACCAACGCCAAATCCAACTGAAGAAAACAATATTTGATACAATCGCGTTTTTTTTTTTTTTTTTGTCCAGCATACGTTTACATTTGGATATTGTTTTTTTTTATTTTTAATAAGAAACACTGCGAATTTGAGCTCCAAATTTCGGAGAATTTGGAATAAAAAAAAAAGAAAAAGAAACTCCGATAAACTCCGAATTTTCAGCGAAAAATAAACTCTGAAAAACACTTTCCGAACTTGACGACAACTAAACTCCGAAAACACGGAACCCTACTCATTACTGACCATATGACAACTTCCTTTCGCAGTTTTCAGTTTGTCTGCGAGATCGGTTCAACTTTTAACATAAGCTTCGGGGGCGCAAGGGTCCTCAGGACGAAATCTGGGTTTTTCACCTGATAGAGGTTTGTGCCGAATTTTAAGTTAAAAGAAGAGAGTTTAATCGTAAAATCAAACAGCGAAAATCAAGAGCGTCCGTAGATGCCGCGCATTGTTTAACACCCCTAGCTTCCATCTGTTAGAGGAGGGCATAAATACGAGTGTTTTATAGTCACTTCTGAAGTCGGCGCGAATTTATCACCTCTCGCAGTCGTGAAAAGGGGGGAAAACGCACAGAGTACAATGCTTGCTAATTTCTCCATTTTGATATTTGCCTCTCCGACCGAAGTGGTACTGGAGCTCATGCTAGTCCTGTGTACAAATACGAGCACACGACGATAATGTCAGATATGATAAGGCCCCAGTGCATTTTACAGAACAGGTCACGTCGGCTGCCAAAGACGGCAACAAATAAGAAGACCAGTACGTGGTACTCAATATACATTTTACACAAACGCTTTTAATTATTGCATTTTCGTTAGTATACTGGTTTTCGTCAATAAGCCTAATATAACTGAGAAGTTTATGAGTCTACAAATATTCGCCGCAATAAACCGAAAACTTTTGTTTGAAATAAAAACCGAAAAAAAGTGCGCGGAATTTCAAATAATACAAAACCGAAAACGCCGAACCCTAGTTATATTGTCAATGTCATGTTTTGACGCTGTGCTGTTTTGTTGATGGGCTGTTCTGACGCTGTGCTGTTTTGACGCCGTGCTGTTTTGGCACGTGCCCTTCTGTCGCTGTGCAGTTTTGACGCTGTGCTGTTTTGTCGCGTACTATTTTGACGCGTGCTGTTTTGTCGCCGTGCTGTTTTGACGCTCTGCTGTTTTGACGCGTGCTGTTTTGACCGTGCTGTTTTGACCGTGCTGTTTCGTCGCGTGCTGTTATGTCGTGTGCTGTTTTGTCATGGTGCCAGGCTTTACCCCCCCCCCCCCCCCCACTTCATTGCCAGATACAAAGGGCGTCAGCTCCAGCAAGTTCTTGACAATTATCCTTGGTAAGGGTAACCTAAAATTATTTTTCGACTTAATAATAAATGTCTCACCAGGCTACCGTCCCTCTCGGATATTTCTTCGTCGCACGTTATTCCGGGAGGCAGTCGCCGTTCGATGTTACCAGATTTGCATCGTGCTGAACAAGTGAGAAAGTTGAAAAAGAAAAATCCCTGAAAGGGCAAAATGAAATGCGTTATAAAGCCGATGCCAATTCATTTCGGTCCAAAATACAAGTAGAAAAGAAATTCATTGGAATACTCGTGACCTGTTCCTAACTCGCTGTACCTTGCAGATTACAATAGCATGCATTTTAGAAAGACTTTGCTTTCATGCTGAATAATTGGCGCGTGGAAAACAATTTCGTTAACTCTTCTAGCAGTACCTCCTAGACACTAGCTGGAAATCAAGGACAACGACATAGCGACGTTTCGAAAACGTTAGGCGCGCGGTACAGCACAAACTCGCCTCTATAAATTATAGCTTCGTGTCAATACTGTGAAACAATACAATAGCTAACCATAGACATACAATTTATTATTCATTAGTCAGATCCAAGTTGGGGTATGCAAATATCGTTTGGGATCCATTCACTCAGAAAGATATCCGGAAGTTGGAGATGGTGCAACGTCGAGCGGTTCGGTTCATTTACGGAAAGTATAGAAGGCTGGATTCACCATCTCAACTTAAGCAGGCTAACGGAATACAGACTCTTCAGGCCAGAAGGAAACTAGCGCGGTTGAAATTTTTGTCTCCTCTTCAGCAAGGGCAGACTCGCATAGACCCATTGCAATATATTTCCCCTATAGCGTCAAGAGCTACGCGGCACAGACATCAGTTTTCACTAACACCCATTTTTGCGCGTACTAATATGTTTAAGTTTAGCTTTTTCCCTCGCACTATTAGCGACTGGAACGGTTTACCTCTCGAACTATTTATCGACACCAACTTTGTAGAAGGTCTCGAGCGTCTTGATAACTAACATGTTTTGCTTTGTACATTGATGCACCTTCATCTTTTTCGCATGGACATTAGGACTGTATAAACCTTCATACTACATCTGGATAGGTCATTTTGTATTAGTGCATGATGGAATTACATACTGCTTGATGCTTGCTTTCCCCCCCTCCCCTTTTTTTTAAATAATATATCCTGTATATTGGCTAGTTAGTTGTAAACCTTTTAATGTCGTTTTATTTGCTTTCGTTTTATGTGTGAATGTATATGTTGTATCCTACACCTACTTGGGCCTTCGATGGCTTGTAGTATCCTCTAAATAAAAAAAATAAATAAATAAATAAAATAAAATTAATCTGATTCAAGTTTTGCAATGTTAAAACGTAGTTATTCTTCTATTTACTTTGGGTATTTATAAAAGGAAAAACTCAAACTTTACACTCCTCTTTTTATTTCCTATATAACTATTTATCAAACTTTTGGAGCTCGGTTGCGTCAATCAATTGTGTGGTAACGCTCCTTATATTTTTCCGGTGCAGGAGGCTCATATGTTTATGAATATTAAAAAAAAACTTTTATTCTCTAAAGTTTATAAACTGCTGATTTAGATTCAGGTTCTGCGTTGTATTTCCATATGTTTCATACTTGTCATGATTTCTTCTTTCACTCTTGCATCCATTTTTAGCAGTTACTGCCACTTACACTCGAAGCTGACATCCCTCAACGCTCAGCATTTTACTCCCTAACATTCTAATCTACAGTCCAAACTAAAATAAATTGGTAAAAGCTGGCGATTTCCGGGCCAGAGAAAGGGTGGCATTTTACCTTGCAGTGGTGCAAGCCTCCATATAAAGCTCATTACTGAGAGTTTTATAAAACATATCGGCAAGCAGATAGCCGCGCGGGGACCATTTTTGTTCCAAAAGAGCGCTTTTTAAGCGACGCTAGTCTTCGTCAGGCGCTTACCAACCCCACGTGACTGTACACGGTTTCTCGGTTTGCATGCTAAGTGAGCAATATCTTCCTTTCCATTCGCCTTTTTTTTTTCTTTTGGCAACAAACTCAGTGGCGTTATCTATTCTGCAGCCCTGGCGCATCCCCAGTCCGAGTAATGTTTATGCATCATTCTTCCACCATAACATTGAATTTTCTGCAAGAGTGACATGAGAGACCATTTTCCAAAAAAAAAATATCGCGTGGTCTTAATCTCGCAAATACAGCGAAACCCGCCGTCTAGCTGGGAACTGGAAGTGTTTGAGGGCAATTTGTACACTGGCGCCAGCACGCTTCAACTTACGCAAGAGCGAATTGAGTGTTTTACAGACCTTGGTTGTTTTTTATAGGCCGATTAATAAAATGCTGTGCCAAGCGAGGGTGATTCAAAATTTTGGCTGCGTATTTTAATTATTTTGTTCATAGACACTCTACCGCAGCCTGACAGAAAGGTTTGAAAGTCTCGGCCACTCCCTCTCACATGTATTCAGGATATTGCGGCAATGCTAATCAACACCCCGGCCGTTGATTCATGGTAAATTTCTCTTTTACGGACGATTATAAGGGCTCATAATAAAGTAAATGTCGAAATTTTACTTACATCTTGATCATGGTTGCGACACACTCTATCACTCGCGTTAGCGATTTTCCAGTAGCAATCAAATCTGTGCTCTTCTTCCACAATCCCTCCTGCAATAAAGGATCGTGAAAATTAATTTGTTACCAATCAAGCATGTACCATTCCGTCCAGATTAAAGTATCTGAATATATTTTGTACGTAAAGATGTTGCGAAAAAATGAATGATATGAGTGCAATACGCGTTTTCTTATCGCCGTTCTTACGCCTGCTACACGAGTGGCACGTTGCGCGCGCCGAACCTCCCTTGTTTTTCTAATTGAAACCATGTTTATTATTTTCGCGAACTAAAAATTAAATATTGAAATTTAAATAATTATTTTTCTAGTTGGCATAATTTTTGCAATGCGTGACGTCCACCAGTTTTTCTCAAAATAGTGCTTTTCCTAAACCACCCTACTTTTAGGTACTTTTAGAAGTTTTCGCAGAAACACCAGGTGTATACAAAGAACGGTACACCCTGGAGCTACATCTATCCTAAATAATTATTATTATATCAATGTATCTTTGTGGGTAATTACCTATAGTGCCTAATTTTTATTAAATGAACGTTGACAAATGGAATATTAACATGTAATCGCTCGACTCTGCAATAGCAAGTACCAACAGTATCTATGTTGTTCACTAAAGAAGATAAAAAGCAGATCGCTCTCATTCAGGGGTACCGGAACACGGAAAACAGTTATTATTCTACTGAAATAATTAGAAGAAAACGACTGACATCTTGCAAAAATTATAGCAGGCTTTCAAAGATAAAAAATACAGTTTCGTTAAACATAGCGAGAAAATATAATCTACCTTTATGGTTTACAACTTTCAAAAAGTCGCGTTTTTTAGGTATTTCACAAATGTAATACAAACAAAGCGACTGAGAAAGAAAGCTCCAAAACAGCAACAGGAAGGAAGCCACGGTGGGTTGAAACATATCACACTTCACTCAGCATAAACCTTAAATAGTAAGTTTGAAGATCATAATTAGTTTACTTTTCTAAAACCCTGTAAAGAAGCTTGCACTCAATACCTCCTGTAATTGAAGAAGAGGGACCAATAACTTTAGAATTTTATACTTATATTTAGTTGTAAAGTATGATTAAAAAATATTCGTTGGAAACCACTTTAACTAATCTCGCAAGATCGGTCTCCTAAGGCTGTAATTCATTCAAAAGGTGCGGGTTTATGGTAGAATTTGGATGTAGAAATACTCAAGGTCTTCAGTGCATCAGTTATTCCATACAATAGGGAAAGTTCCCGACCAGTTACATATATATGGCGTTCCCGACTAGTTACATATACAGTATAAACTGGGGAGTATTAACTGGGGTACGCAGAAAATCAACTGGAGAATCAACTGGGGTACTGCAGCTCTATCTTTTGCTACCAACACAAATTGAATTTTCTGATTAACCGGATTTTAGACCCCAGGCCATGTTATTCATTGTATCGAAATTCAAAATAGCTATTAGGAAAACCGGAAATTAATATTATCGCGAAACCAAAATTCAAATTTCCGGGTGTTGTCCAAGGGTGTGACATCACAAATGGTACAGAATTTCAGGCCACGCAGCTGGGCTCAAACGGAGAATGTCGAGTGTTTTTTCTTGCTTCTCAATGAATGAGCTTCCGAGGATTTTTTCCCACCAGCAAACGTCTTGTAATCAGTTGGGAACGTAGTTTACTGCACATAATGTACCGATTCTTTCGTCACACTTCAATGTTGCCAGTAGGAGATCTCGGTTCGTGAAGCATGGTGAGATCAAAATTTGAAAATTTAAAACATTCGTAAAATTTTTTTGTTGTTTTCTATAATATCTGGGGGACTGGTACAGTCGTGTCTAACGGCGTGTTGAGCCACTTTTGAAGCAAATAAGTTACCATAAAGAATCGTTAAACTACACCTTTAACCGCAAATCCATATTTGAATGTTCGCTGCACGAGCTATGCGCAAATCTCGGAAGTAAGCACACGGGCAAAACGAGATGGAGGGACACCGATGTTCTTATTGTATTCATAACAAAATAACTGACACAATATGCTCTTTTTCACCTTACAAAAGACCGCATCGGACGCTACAACAATCGAAGCCAACCCAAAGCAGTGGGAGTGCCGGGCTTCACCCTCAGGAAGGACAAAGCGACGTTTAGCCTCGTGATACGATTGGACAGCTGGACTAAATGATGTAGCGTCCGCTGCGGTGTATGGTAAGGGGAAATGTAGTATAGTGGCGACAAGCGTAAACAGAGCTTACCATGTACAACTTTCGCGAGAGCCTGGTCGGAGGTGGTCGGCAGAGAGCATCGGTCACACGTTCGAACGGGTTTAAGTCCCAACATTAAGTCCCTGACATCGGGCCATCCACCCCCATGGTGACGAAGCAGCGGTATAACCAAACTACTAGGTGGTTTGTTCAAACTGCTCATCCATTTGGTCGAACTGCTCACTGGTTTGAACAAACTAGTGAGCAGTTTCAAACCGGTTCACTCGTCTCGGTGCGGTACCGACAGGTTCGCCTACCGCTACGCTCGAACAGGAAAGTGGTTTTATCGAACCCGCAAACGATTTTACCAAACTGTTGAGCATTTAACTAAACCTGCGAGTATTTTGATTACACCGATGAGCAGCTCGGATATGCTGCTAAGCGAAGGTCGAAACAGATACCGCTAGGGTTGATCGGGTATTGGTATGAACCTGTTAAAATTTCAAATGTTTTTTTTTTTTTCAGAAGGGGTGAAGCTAATTTAGACGGCACATATATGGGACTAAGAATAAAGTTTCTTCAGAAGCCAAAAGCTATATTTTAATACAATGCCGTATTGAACGTGCACCCGTATCGAATGTGTTTCTGCATCAACCGGTGCCGGTATTAGACGGGTACCCGTGTCAAAAGGGTACCAGCATTAAACCGGTGCAACAATCTTATAATACCGTATGGTCTCAGTGGGTCGACCAGTTTTACCCTTGTTCGAATTCCAAACTTTTTTGTAGGAGGATTACTATGGCAACATGAGCGAAACACTGCACAAAAACAGTTGTTCACAGTCAAACCAATTTATAATTAGCCTGCATATACGGTTACAGGCACTGAAAGAACGAGCAAATATCTTGCGTCCCAATATGCAGAGTATGTGTTGTGGCCGGATTCGATAATCATATACTGCCACCATATATAAATATTTTCAATCTATGATAGATGGTACTTATCTGTACATTCCTATTAAAGTCTATAGACACATATAGGACAGACAGTGATATTATATTATACGTGATCTTATATTTACCGTCAACGTCGACGTGCAGAGTGACCAGCGCAGCAAAGATTGCCAGAAACATTATTTTCATCATACTTTTCAGGTTATCTTCCACCTAAAACAATAAAAAACAAAAAAACAAAGCATGACAGTTTGAACTTAAGAAAGACATACATATTTGTACCGTTTCTTTGACGGATTCAAATAGATGGGCGAATAACTGAGACGTCTCAATAATTCTTCTCAAAATACAATATGATATTGCAAAAATGACAAATTAAGATTAATTAAATGTTTTGTAGCACTGAATAAATTCAAGTTCTAATTGCAATTACAAATTGTTTTCTTGTACTTAAAAAATATTGATACATGTCTCGAAAATGGAAAGATAAAGTTCTATGTAGAATGTGTCCCCCTACCCTGAGATATTTTTTATCGTATTCTTTCACGCCGACCCAAGACAACAACTCTACCTTAACTTTGCCCTGTCATGCTTCCTCCCCAAATTTTTATTTCCTTCTCGCACAGGTGATAAAGATAGGCAGAAAAGGAAAAAGAAAAGCGCCGAGGTGAAAATTTAGTTAGAATTCGTTCCGTCTGAACGAATCCTGACTGATTTACGAATGTGGGCCAAGCTTTAGAATGTACAATGTTATTTTATTTATATTTATTTTTAATAATGAACTCGTTGTGCCACCCGAATAATGGTGGCATGAGACGCTTGTTTCAACAAGCTTCAAAAAGGAAGGTGAATTCGCTGAGCAGTTATTCCTTATTTCTAGTGTATAAATGGGCAGAAAGTCGAGCATTCAACGGGGTTACAATAGTAAGGGTGCAGGCGAGCTGGTGGATGTTAACCATGTTGAATATACCTGAGACTGGGGTAGAAAAACATAAAAGTCGAAGAAACTCGAGAAATTTGAGACGTCGTCCTGTCCCGTTTTGTTTCTTCAACTTTTATGTTTTTCTACCCCAGTCTCAGGTATATTCAACATGGTTAATATTCAACGGGGCTTCTTAGGTATGTAATGTGTTAATTATATACATATAAAGCCTAGAGGAGTTTATAATATTCATAGAAATAACATAGTAAGTTAGTAAATTTATTTTGTTTTGGAGTTCTGTCGGTCCCTCGTCATTCTTTATGAACGTTTGTGAAAATCAAACAAAAGTAAGTTGATAAATTTAAAGCAATCCTTTTTGTGTTTTAGGCTTTACAGATTCTTTTCCTTTTTTTTTACCACGAAATCTACATCACTGCGCTTAGTACAGCTTTGGTACGCGGCCAGGGGGTAAATATGAAGTGCTAATGTTTACGCTAAGTCAATTAATTACATAAATTGGATAATTTACCTTTCAAATATTTAACGTTAACGTAGGGTTCTCATTGCAGACTTGCTGAGCGTCATCGAGTACTGCGACACTTTCAAACTTTAGAAAAACTTCAATCGCGTGGTACGCACGGCGGTATCGTTTGTTACCCTCTCGTGCACAGCCTTGCGGCTGTGCACGAGCGGCTGTGCACGCGCCGACCGACCTTCATTTTCCGCCTCATCCGCGTTTCCATTCCGTCAGCTATGCGCCTGTTGAACAAATGTGAATTTTAGCGCACTACCGTGCTTCCCGCGTGCTCCATATATTTCTTCAGTTTACCTGTTTAGGGTATTTTACTGGCGGTAAGCAAGTTTATACTTCGAAGCAAATTTTTATTTTTACGCTATCAAAATAAATAACAACGCTTTAGTTAATTATATGCCTCTCGTGAAGACAGTGTCCTGTAATTTGTCCACCTGACTGTGTAACTCACCTGCACAGACCACACCAACTGTGCTCCCAGGTAGCACAGAGCTCTGGGCCAAAATTTGGCAAATATCTGGAAGTTTCGGTCCTTGAAAAACCCGAAGGATCCCAAATAGAGCCAAATTTGACCTTCTTTGGTAAGAGTCAGGGAACGTTGGCCTTAATTCGCAAAGGATGTGCGGAAGTTAGGCTTGTTTTCCTGGTAGTTCGGCTGGTATCTGTCCTCTTCGACCCGAAATCGCCAAACGAGCGCCAGAGTTAGGCTTACTGCCTGGTAGTTCGGCTGTCATCTGGCAGCTACGGGCCAAAGTCGCCAAACAAGAGACAGAATGCGAACCTGTCCAAGAAAGGGAAAGGAGCAACGAAAGAGAGGGGACTGGAATTTCCCCGTTTCCTCCTTTCCCTCCACTTGATCTCGTCGTAATACACTCTCTCCCCTGTAGCTTTGGCTGCACTGCAAGATCTTTTTTTTTTCTTTTTTAAGTTGTCTTTTCTTTGCTTTTCTGAAAGCAGAGGAAGTTTAGCTGCATTGTTCATGCCCCATCGACCTCGTCTTTTGTTAAGCCTCCCCACCTGCTTTCGTGTCTTCGGGTGTCTGTCAGCGAGCGCGACGGCCGCTTGAAGCAAATCAGAAGGGTGGAACGAAACGCGTGACCTCACAACGTAGGACGTGTAGGACAAAAACGCTTGAACGAAAATTTGTCACGTGACTTTCTCAGTCGCGCTGATGGGATCTCTGGGGCTGTTGTTGTCGCAGTTTTCCAAGGCGGGCCACGTAGGTGCTTTTTCCGAAATGCGCTCTTCAGTGTTGCAGGCGCAGCCGTGGTTTATCGTCGTAAACAGCCGGAATACGTCCATGCAATTTTTTTTATATATAGAATGGCCATCTTTTTCGCCGGGGTCCGAGGAATTCTTGTACTGTGTTTGTTAGACGCGCTTCGACAAAAACTGCTCTTCGCCGACGACCAGACGTCAGTTGAATGTACGCAACCTTGTTTCTTGACTGTGTATTTAGGCTGCCCGAGTCGGATTATGCATCTATCAAGGATTACATGATATCGCTCTTTTATTAGTAAGTACACTGCAAGCATGCTTCTGACAGTAGTTCTGTTTCCCTCTCCATCTGCTCCGTTTTTGTGTTTTCATTTTCGAGTTCTGCTTGACATGAAAGCAGTGTTAATTCTATTTTATAATTCGCTTTTCGTTTTACAAAGAAACAATACCTTTGCAAACATATCGAGGATAAGCTGTGTGTAATGATAGTGGTTTACAAAAACTTCTGGGGCGATGAAAAACAGTCTGTTCGTCCGTGAACGTGATCAATATGCAACAAATGATATGGCACGTCCTATACAACACAGACTTGCACGACGTGCGGCGAACACAAAGCATATGCGTCGTAGAGTATTCGCACGATACCGCAAGAAGACTAGGCCGGGGCAAAACAACTGTACGGCAATACCTGCCGGATGTCAAACCTTGGTGCAAAACTGGGGATTTGGGCGATACTGGAACCGACTTTCGGCCGGTACTGGCCCGACACTTCCAAATATCGCCGTGCTGCTTGGGACTGGAGATAATGACATCTGACCATCATGTTTCCAACGGGTATTTAATTTAATCTTTTTGTGTGTGTGGAGCATGTGAAAGAGACCTTCTGTGGCACACCAGAGGAATTACGAACTTGGGCAGGCTTCTGGACTTTCTTTAGGCACTATTGGCATTTATTTGACACTCCAGTGGCTAGCCAGACAAAAGTTCTGCTTTGGCATGTCCGAAATCCACAAATGGGCTGTTACTTTGGCAGTTTTAGTTCAAGTATGGCGCTTACTTAGAAAAGCCAACCTTTGGCATGTGCGAAATGCCCAAATAAGTCGTTGCTTTGGCAGTTATAGCTCGAGTATTTTACTTATATCGGCACTCCTTTGGTGGACCAGAGTAAAGCCAAACTTTGGCGTGCCCAAGTATCGCCAAACTATGGCTATAGTTAGGCGACGTTGTTTGGCACTGAGAAGCGCCATGGAGAAAAACCTAACTAGGCCCAAGTTAGGCCCTTACGTTTGCCACCTTTCGCCCAAGCTGGGCCTTTCTCTGGCATGCTACCTGGGTTTTCAGGGTTATTTTAATACAAACCTGCAAATTAAAAAAAAAAGATATATCTATATGTATTGTCAATTTTAAACCTACTCCAGAAGCTTTGCCAGTCACATAAACGTCCGATTTATTCAACCAACTGTGCACCGTTCTTGTTCAACATATCTGATCAGAGAGCTGTGTTCAGGCTCACGTGCCGTTTTAGCGCATATTGGCTTTGAAATTTTCGCAGACAGATAACGTGTGCGTTCCTTAGCGTACAAAATTTAATTTCAGCGGAGCCGCGAGTTCAATCGACAAGTTTGTTCGTTACTAAGTTTGGAAACGCGACTAAAAACTGAAAAAGTGGGAGAAGATAGGACAAACTATAAGGAAGTGTAAATTTTAAATTAGGGTTTTCACGAAAACCAGTACGCAATTTAGATGGCTTTTATTCTCACAATTTTGTTTTCAATACAGCTTGGCTCCTTCTTAAATACTTCCAACGGTTTTAGGCTGCCTTTTTTACGCTTTCTTCTAACTTTACTTTTGGTGCTTAGTTATACGTAAACTCAAATGGGCTTCGTGCGTATGAAAGTGGATATTGTCCTAATTAAGGACGAGCATAAGTCCGGCATCCACACATACTTCTTTTCATCTACAAAATGTATGCTCTTCTGCGTTCAAACGTCTAGCCTTTCCCACAGGTACAGTAGTAACGTATTATTATAAGCAGACGCACTAAACTTCGGTTAGAAAACAGTTCTACTGCGACAGACACTGGTCATGGAAAATATCTAAATTACAGTAAAAAACTTACGGGATTCGTTTACCTCAAGAACGGTGAAGTGGTAGTGTGTATTCTGAAGAGCAATTTTTACATCTTTTATATCATAGGAAGTGGTGACGTAACAAAAGGTATTGCCAAGGGTATATTGCATAAAATAGTTGACAGCAAAAACAATGAACAATGCTGAAACACAACAAACCTCAGAACAATTGTTGTGCAATAGAACTGTTGACATGAAATCGCACAACAATATCGACGACAAACCACATGTTCACTGGATTTTATTTAGACTTACGTGGGCGGTTTCATATGGATGCAGGCAACGAGGTGCAGTCGTAATTTTTATTTTGCTTCAAATTTTATATTTCGTGGCGCATGTTCCAAGTAGAACAATCTTTTTTTTTATTTTAATGTCCTCACATGTCTAGTTT